AATGACCTTAGCTGAAAGACTAATGAGGTCGATTGCACATCCTTCATGAATCTTAATCACGATAAGATTTCCCTGCAACGTGGTCAATCCAAAAGGGATACACTGTAGTGTTAGAAATCTCTATCTAAAAAGATTTTAGTCTACCAATGAGACATAATCGGAATTACCGAATATACCACACCAATGAGAACTTAAAATTATTTTATGTTTCCATTTTCATTTTCAGTGCAAGTTTTCATTTCTAGTCTGGTTCCCGGTTGAACTGGCCGGTATGATCCGGTTTCCATTTCCATGATTTCAACCCACAAGCCTTGTGAGTAGAGGTGTCAATGGGGCTGGTTCGTTGTGGTTCGTGTTTGTTTCAATCGGGTTACATATTCATCGGGTTATGGGTCATTCAAGTTGTGAGCCAATTGAGTCGGGGCTAATTACACATGTTTTACACCCTCATATCTTTAGGGTGTAATTTTACACTAGGTTGTGCTTCTTTTATCACATTTCAGGTCCTAGTACGTGCGGTAAGCTCCAGAACGTGTTTTAGGATGCTTGGAGGTCGAAAAGAGTCAAAAGCCATGGACTGGGAGTAATTTTCACTGTCTCTGGGCCGTGACAAATGAGCACAGGGCGTGACATTTGACCAGAATCAGAAGGGTCTTCACGTCTCGCGGGCCTAAAGATTATCACGGTCCAGAGACTTTGAAAATAACCTCAAGGATTACCCAAAAAATATACGATATGAGTGACGCGAAGATGCCAATGAAGAGCTCTAAGGGGATTTTCTCCCACCTAGGTCAAAAGCTCAATACATGAAATGGATAATAAACTATCCATTTCATAAAAAAAACCATCCATCAAATAGATAATAAACTCAATCAAATATAGGATTTGTCACATACATCAACATTAAACCAAAACCTTGACCTAGGGTTCTTAAACCTAAGAGAAGAGGGCTAGTTTCTAGAGAGAAGATAGAGATTACAAATTGAAGCACAATATCTTCTTCTTCTAGGCATGATTCCTTGCTTCCAAACTTGATCAATACCTTCAATTAAGCTCCAATATCACTCAAGAACTCTCTCTCTCTCTCTCTCTCTCTCTCTCACTAGAACTCCCTTTTGGTGTTTTAGGTCGAAACTCTAGAGAGAAACAATTTCTCCTCAAAAACCAGCTCCCCTTTCTCTCTCCCAGCTGATTTCTTTAAATTTTCCTGACAGTGTTGACTTCATGGTCACTATTCACGGTCGTTATAATAGCAAGCAAAGGGTGATCTCGACAAAAAACGCACCATTTTGGGCCATTTTCACGGCCATGGGGTGATTTTCTCTGTCGGGACCATGATAATCTTTTGGCCTGCGAGACTTGAAGACCCTTATGATTCTGGTCAAATGTCATGCCCTTGGCTCAATTGTCACAGCCTTGAGACCGTGACAATTACCCCCTGCCTGTGAATTTTGACTGTTCTTCACTTTTTCGAGCTTTTCGACCTCTAATCATCCCGAAACTCGTCTCAGACCTTCCCACACGTACTAGGACATGAAATGTGACAAAAGAATCACATTCTAGCATAAAATAGGTTGAGGAACGACGAAAACCAAGTCAAACAATCAAGATATATATGAGGGTGTAAAACATGTGTAATTAGTCTCAAATCACCAATCGGGTCGCAGGGTAATCGAGTTACGGGCCTATCGGGTTCAAGTTGATCGTGTCATGGGTAGATTAGGTTACTATCATGTTGGATTACTAGGTATTCAAGGCAACCCATCAATTTAGTTACTTAATACTTATTACTTAAGATGTGCAATTTAGTTATTGTGTTGATTTAAGATATACGCAAAAATACTTATGAACTAAAGTATCAAATCAATTATATCTTAATTTTATGATATTATCGCTTATCCGACTTAAAATATTGAGAATTGGGGAAAGTTAGGCAACGAGAAAATTAGAATTTAGTTGTGTGGGTGTTAATTTTAGACTAATTATAATTAGTCTTTGGTAAATTTTTTATAAAATTTTAGTATTATTGAAAGTTGATAAAAAATATTAATTTTTTCTCCTAAACAACTAACTCAGAGGGTGCAATTAAGTAATTCTTTCAAAGGATTGAAAAAGCGTAACGTACCGGCGGTTCAATTAAAAGAACCTCTTACTGGAAGTGAAATCGGTAGCCAGTGTTTAGCGATATGAAATGGTTGAACCACGGTTTCAGCAAAAAATAGCTCGCCACTGACTTTTTCGGTACAACCTCTAGTACAATTTTTTAGTTCTTATATATTTCTACTCTAAATGGGTTCGATTTTCAATTATATATTTTTTCTTGTTGCAATGACAAGGGAAAAAGGTGCCATGGAACCTCATTCCTCCATGCTAGCTAACTCCGCCCAGGATATATAATGTGAAATAACATGCATTTGAGATACAATATAACCTCTTTAAATTAATAACCTAGTAGAAATTAATTATTTCTCCGATCCCGATTTGGGCAGTGTAAAAAATGATCAAATTTAATAAAATAATAAGATAATAATTTTTGAGAACCAACATACATAAATACATGAATTTTTAACTCTATAAATTAATAATTGTAAAAATACAATTCATCTAGAAATTTATAATATAGCTAGGATAATCTAGAAAAATATGAATATATAGTTGTTTGTTTATTCTTGAAGTTCAAGTCCAATAGAAGTTCATCTTAAACTTTCCTTATTGCACTCAAAGTCTCTAGTGTTGTCTTCTTTAATTCCATCAAGTATTTTTGAAGAGTCAGTGCCGCTTTAAGTGCTTCCTTTCGCATGACCAGTTCCAACGGTGTTGAATCATCATCTCCTTTATCCTTAATTGAACCCCCAATGATCATCAACCACAATTTCTTCTAACGTTTGTGCTGCGATACATTATATTGAATTTATGATCAATGAATATAGGTGACACACCACAGATACACCGCGATTTAAATCCCGACTAGAGCCCAAGTTGTTAAACTCTAGCCGGGTGCAGTATAGTGCAAGTATGTTTTAATTGCCAAACCCGGAACGGTCCATGTACCCCTACTTCAATCGCTTAGGTTGTTACCTACCAAACGATTTTGGGTTTAAAACTAGGAAAACTACAAAATAAACAAAAAAAAAAAGGAAAGTAAATAGAGGAGAATTCTACTTGAAAGGACTTCACCTCGGTATTGCTCCTCCTAGTCTCATTTTAAGAAGCAATGAACGAAACTCTAGTGTGAAGGATGTGTTCTTATACCGTGAGACTGGTGCAACTAGCTAGAGATAAACATTCCTAGTCGATCGATTAAGGATTGTGACACAAATATAGGGAACCTAGCTCTCTTAACCGATCAACCGAGGAAACCGTAACTCTCTTAGTTGACCAATTTAGGATTGTTGCATTAAGTTAGTGGACCAACTCTCTTAACCTTTCGGCTAAGGATGGCAACAATAGGCTAGACGATCTAACCCCTCTAACCTGGTCGACTAAGGATTGCAAACCAAGCCCTCGGATCTTAACCCACACGACGGATAGGCCCATCATGCTAGAATCATCATACTACTCCGATACTTGAGGTTTTGGCCCTAGATCAACCCAAAAAGGGTTACCCAAGTGGCCAGGAGACAAGCTCCCTATGGGCCAAAAGGGGATTTCCACCCACTAGGCTAATTTTGACCCAACAAAGAGATAATGCAAGCAACACTTACTAATCATGAATAATTTAAGATTTGTCCTCAATTGTCTAGGTGGGTGACACAAATTGGTGAAGAATGAAGCTTCCCAAAGCCTCTTTTCCATAAGATGATTCTCTCCACCTAGGTCAAATTGACCCAATAATGAGTTAAAGCTAACACACTCAATCATTCATGAAAAATACCTCAAATATTATATAGAACACATAATCAACACAATTGAATCAAGTTCTTACATCCTAACACACATCTAGACTATGATTCACAATACCCAAGTGAGTAGGTAGGCTAATCCATAGCTAGGCGAAGGAAAACAACAAAAAGGAGAGAAAGAACCATGAATAGATGAAAATCTTCCTCCCTTGTTTCTTTCCCTTGAGAAGAAGAAATCTTCCATCCTCTAGTTAGAATTGAGCCCAATCTCCTTCTCCCTCCTTTGAATGGCACTCTCTCTCTAAAATGGGAAGAGGAAACCCTAATCTCTCACTAGAAACCCTCTTTTATTCTACACACTAAAAACCTACCAAAATCTCTCTCTTCTCCTTCAGCTCCCTTCTCCTTTTATACACAGGTCGCGGCCAGTTCACGGTCCCAGTTCACGGTCGTGAACATCAAGCGTAGACCGTGAACTCGAACCAATTCGCATTGTTTCACTTAGCTGGTTCACGGTCTAGGGCTTCAGTTCATGGTCGTGCGACGTGAACTGACTCGATGCCAGTAACCTGTAGAAATGCTCTGGAAGCACGGCGGTAACGGTCTTGGGGACTTTGGACGTTTTTTCACCTTTTCGCGCTTTTCAACCTCAAATCGACCTGAAACTCATCCTTGACCTTCCCACACGTGCTAGGACCTGAAATATGACAAAACAAGCACACCCTAGCGTAAAATAGGTCGAGAGACGATAAAATGCAAAGTCAAACTATCAAGAAATGAGGGGTAAAACGTGTGCATTTAGACCTGAATCAATAGGGGTGCGCGTAATTTAAAACATGAATCTAGACCATCTACAAGAATACATCGAATACATATATCTTGGAAGAATATATAATTTTCTTCTATTAAATTTTAGTACAATGAATACGTAGAATGCGATAAGTTATCGTATGAACTTGAAATATTTGGAGATACGATGAACCTACATCATAAGAAAAACCTCTTTAAAGTAATAATTAATAATTAATCGATTAATTAATAATTACTATAAATTAATAATTTTCACGGTCCCGACTATATTAATTTATTAATTAATAAATACTATAAATTAATAATTTTCACGGTCCCGACTATATTAATTTATAGAGGTTATACTGTAGTTCAATTGATGTTATATTGAAGATGAGATAACTTAGTACCATGTACCAAACTTCGGTCAATTTAAGGTTTAGATATCAATTTTTTACTTCAAGATATATACAACACTTTTGATTTTACTGAAGATAAATACAAAGTGTTAATAATAAATCAGGGTAATCGCATTACAAAAGGAATTACAAAAGAAGTTGTTGAGATTAATCAGATTGAATTGATCCGAAACTCAAGAACATCACCATAATGTAAAGTAAAGTACAGTTGAACATGAGCAACCCAAAAAAGATATTAAAAAAACAACCACGTACTCGGGTTAAATACCTAAACAAACGAAACAACAAAAGAAATGAAGAAGAGTAGCGGGCGGGCGTGCAGATGTATTAGGTAGCTAAATGGGTCGGTTGGGTTGCTAGTCCATGTAGATGCGGACATGAAGGGCTAGAATGAGGATGGTGAAGACGGCGAAGAAGAGGAGAGTGTGGACTATCACTGCCTTCCCGTTGGTTCTCAGGCTCCCAAACTCGAAGTGCTTCGTGTTCCCGGGCATCTGAAACACCAGCCCCGGCGACAGCACTATGAATAGAAGCACTCCCAGCAATATCGGCGCCCAATCCGACATTTTTTTTTATTATTCTTGTTGTTGTTGTCGTCGTCGGCTCTCTCTCTCTTTCTCTGGCCGCCGGGATCGGAGAAATTAATGAAGAGAAAACGCCTGCCTCACTTCACCCCTTAATATAAAGACAGAAGCTCATCCTTTAATTTGAAGGCAGGCACAAAGGCATTTGGGAAACAGCCCTTCTCTCAAGCAATGGATCCCTGCGCCTGCCTGCCTGCTTCCTAGCTGATTCTGTACGTACTACGTACGTTCCAAGTTTAACAAAAGAAAAGAAAAGAAAAAATTGATTAACAATTCATCGTCATGCAAAATAAATAAATAAAAGGGAAAAGAAAATACTCAGAAAGCCCAAAAAGACCATTCCGCCTCCGGCCACTGAGAAGAGAAAGTGTGGTGGCTGATTCAAGCCCAAGTTCTCAAGCAAAGCAAAGCATCGTTCAGCGCGCAGGGGCTCGGCGGGTGGGTTAAGCATCTCATTCGCTGCACTCTTACGCGCTTATACCACACACCATATATTAGGGTGGGCTATTTGGTCCGGACTGTTTGGTTTTACCCGAAACCGTATAACCCGGATCGGGACCGGACTGGGACCGGATAGCAAACAATCCAATCTTATATTCGGGCTTAGATTTGAGGTAAAAAAACCGAATAAAGACCGGATAAGAGACCCCAAACACCTAAAATCAAGATCAAATTGGGACCGGACCGGGTCAAGACCGAACCGGATCAAAATCGGACTGTATCCAATCTAATCTTTGATTCTTATATTCCCGAAAAGACCGAACTGGGACCGGATCAATTTGGTCCAAGTTAACCGGACCGGACCGTATAGCCACCCCTACCATATATGCAACATGCATTACTTTTTTTTTTACCACCTTTTTCAACCAATACCAACAAATTTACGAACTTAACTCCATCGTTTAAGGAAATAAAATGAAGATATTATTGTAATGAAAATTTTACTTGGATGTGTACAAAATGTCACATAAGTTTTATATGTAATGTTTATAAACTTGTAAGTGAAATATTTGTCAACTACAAGCTTTTCACTTTAGGACTCAAAAGTGAGAGATGACATCATTTCGCTTTGAAATATTGAATTTCAAAAGATATTAGAAAGGCTATAACCATCAACCCCAATTCAAAAATAAGTGTCACAGGTTCCCATAAAAAAATAATAATAATAATAAAAATAAGTGTCACAGGCATTTAATTTTGGATCTACCACTTTCCACGAGGCAACCTACGGATATTAATGAATAATATAATAGCTATCATACCTGGGTTGGATCACATCCTAACTCCAAATTTAAGAAGTTCCTTAAGCTTTGGTTGGCCAATAGGAGGAGGAGAGAGAAAAGAAGAACGTAACTAACTAAAAGGGCAAATGAGATAGTTTGCTTAATTATTTAATGTTATTAATAAGGATATTTATTTCTGCAAAAAATAGAAAATATTTCCAATTTCCTAAAACTTCGCCCCTTCCTATTCTCCAACATCCGCCTATTTCTTCGTGGAGAAAAATCCTAAATAAATTACCGGAAAAAACCCTAAATAATGAAAACATTACTAACTATGTTGTGAAATGTTAACAATCCATTAAATTTGATTACTGATGACGCAGGCCTCATGCTAATAATGAACAACACAAGTTGTTAATAAAGATAGTTGTTGTGTTACTAATCAAATTACAAACGATTAACAATATTCGACCCACATCCTACTAGTGAAGACACCAATATTGTTTATGTTAATAATATGATCATAATGGTTAACAATTTGGAACATAAACATTACAAATCACAACCAACGTGACAAATAATCAAGAGAAACACATGTTAACCATGTACCCATTTTTGTTGACCAGCTTCGTACATCACTCCTACTCGACGCTGCACACTTTCAACCCCATTCTTTTTGGTTTCGCTCCCCATTCAACCTTGGTCGAAGCAAGAAGATACTGGAGTATCTCGCCGACTTGGAATCCTTCGGGTTGTGCATCTTTATTTTCCAGTCGGCCCTCAGCTTGTGAACATGGAACCTGTGTGTTGTGAAATATGGGTTTTCGTTAGTATATATTGTTGTCCATGACGTTGATAGTTAGAAAAAAAGGATAATAATCTTGCTAAACAATTTAATAATGTTTCAGAAAATGTTAATAATTTGAAAACGTGAAATGTTAATAGTTATGTAGAAAGGGTTAATAATATGCATAAATTATTTGAAAATGATTTAGAAAGTGTTAATAATTTAAAATGTGAATACTGTTAATAGTTATGTAGAAAATGTTAATAATATGTATTAAAAATTAATAACGATTTGGAAAAAGTTAATGATTTGAAACGTTAATAATCTGCATAAAACAGTAAAAATGATTTGGAAAATGTTAATGATTTGAAACGATGATAATGAAAATTTATGTAGAAAATGTTGATAATCGGGACTAAAATTATAATAACGATTAGAAAATTTTGATTTGAAAGGTTAATAATAGAAAATGTTAATAATCGGGATTGAATTATAATAACGATTTGACAAATGTTAATCATTTGAAAATGTCAAAAATAATTATGTAGAAAATGTTAATAATATGGTTCTGAAAAGTTTATAATGGTTTGAAAAATGTTAATAATTGGAAAAAGTTAATAATTTGCATGGGTTGTTGTCCATCCAAGTTTCCCTATGTCTCCATTCCGTTCACTTTCAAGTTTTTTTTTTAATTTTTGATTATGGAAGTCGCTTCTTCAGCTCATGAGAAAACAACGCAGGCAACATAGGGACGCTGGAGATTAGCAAGAAAAAACATCAGACGCCGAAAGCTGCTTACGGAAAAACTGATATTGGTCGACGCCGGGAAGAGAATGGAAAATGCTGAAGAAGCCTCGGAACAACTCGAAGGGGAGAGGAAACTGCCGCTGTTAGTGCGACGACGAAGAAACAAGAAAGGCCGACGACGGGATGATTGCTGCTCAGGCTCGGCCGCTCGGGGAGCTAGGTTTAAATAGAAATAAAAAATCTAACATAAAATAGAAGATATTCACATCAGAGGCAATACGTAGCAATTGGCAAGAAAATAATTAAAACCTAATTAAAATACCTCAATTACCCTCATTAACTACTACCTACTAAATAACCATAAACTGTTATATAACTAATTTAGATTAATCTAATGACTATCATTCACTTAAGAAACTCCTTAACCTTTAAGACTTAAGGACCTGAAATTAGTCCCTATCATACCTCAATCACATAAAACACACTCCCAAATAATAATTGGATTGCGAAATGTGAATAAGAGAAGATGTGCAACATGACGAGTCCATTGGATGAAAATGACGGTTTGTAGCAAATTCTGCAATCAACTTATCTATTACTACTCGTATGATAATGGTCCTCATCAACACCCAAACGAAATTTGCAAGCCACTTGGCAAACCTATTCGTGCCTGCTTGATTGGGTCAGCCGTTTGTTAGGGTTCTGGTGGTCGCTACAGTTAGAGGTGGCAATTGGATCGGATTCGTGGATTCGTGGATTGGATTGGTGGATCCATGGATCAAATGGATTGGATCCAATGGATTGGTGGATTCATGGATTGGATCAAATTGATTGGTGGATTGATCCATGAATCCAAATGACATCCAAGGCTTGGACCAAAATGTAAATTTTGATAAGTTTAGGTATTAAAATTGTCATAATGAAAATTTTAGTTACCAAAATGTAATTTTCCAATGATATTTTCGTATAAAAATATATATTTTAGGTACCAAAATGTAAAATATAAAAAATATAGGTACCAAATTGTAATTTGCCATTTGGATCCATGGATTGATCCATGAATCCACCAATCCAATTGGATTTGGATCAAATGGATTGGATTTAAATGGATTGGATTAAGTGGATAATTTGGTGAATGAATTGGATTGGATTCATGGATTTGGATCTTAATTGCCACCTCTAGCTACAGTGATTTCTGGCTAGTGGTGGCTTGAGGTGTTTAGGTCAGAGGAAGATATAGAGGTGGAGAATATTAGGATATGAAGAAAACAGGGGAAGAGAGATATGAGAGGCCTAGTCACTAATTTCTTTCTCTCAATTCGTGATTAAATCTTTTACTTCTTTTTCCTTTGTTAAGAGTTATTTATTGCTTAGTAGATGTATAGGAGTTAGAGATGAATGATTTAGACAATGTTGTATTATTTTTTTTACAAAGTAATGGATATTTTAGGATTAAATGCTTTGAATTCGTATTGAGAATGATGTATCTTTATTGATTTCATGATTTATTAGGTTCACCTAGTGCTATAATTTAATATTTAAGGTATAGTAATAATGGATATAAGGGACAAATATTACCCCCAGGGTACCTAAAAATGGCGGATACGAGAATGGGGTTGCAAAACCTCCCCGCATGGATATGAGGTGGGTATGAGTATAAGTTTGAATATTTGGAAATGAGAATGACTTAAGAAAACTCACTCCATAATCATCTCTAGTGGCCACCCTATAGGATGAAGACCATAACTTGTTCCCCCATTCTCTATCCTCCATATCATAGCAAAAGGTGAAATACATCGGGTACCTGTCAATTAATTGTAGTCACACGTTATATATGGCTATATCCTCTATGTCGCAAATATGATGTGCATCACATATTTACTATATATAAGGCCACGATTGAAAAATTTTCCCCACCACCATACGTCGGGTTTATCGTGATGGTGGTGGTGAATTCCAAAAATTATGTGCTTTCTTTCATACCCATGACATCACCGATCATTTAACCCCGCCACATACTCCCCAACATTATGGCTTTGCTGAATGCAATGATAGTCATATAGTTGAAACCGACCTTGTTCTTCTTCATACCGCGCAACCCCCCTTATGTTTTTTATCTCATCCTTTCCAAACAACCACCTACCTCATCAACCGTCTTCCATCCTCCTCCCTTCATGGTAAGTCTCCTTATTGTTCCTTGTTTAATGAATCACCCAACTATCTCAAGCTTCGTGTTTTTGGTTGGGTGTGCTATCCCTGGCTCTGCCCATACTCCGACCACAAACTCTTTCCCCGCTCCCTCCTTTATATTTTCCTTGGCTACTCCCTCGCCCAAAGTTCTTACCAATGTTATGACCCTGCCACTCACAACCTCTACATCTCCTTCATGTTCAATTTGATGAGAAAAACCTACCCGACCTTCCCTCTCCAGCTGATCCGCACTTTGATCCCTCAATTGGATGGCCATCATATTTTTTTTCTCCTGAAAATATTTTTTTACTGTTTACACCAAAATATTTTTTCTCTTGAACTTGGTCACCATGTGTCTAGTCCTAGGGTAGTAGATGGTACCATCCCACATTATGGATACCATCCAACCTCTAAGTGGATGGGCACATCCCATATTAGTGGGCATCATTCAACCTCTTATTGGATGGTACCATCCCAAACACCATGGATACCATCCCAATCCTATGGTGAATGGTACCATTCCACATATCATGGACACCATCCAAAAGACTAATTGGATAGTGGCCATCCCATATCATGGATACCATCCAAAGTACTAGTTGGATGGTACCATCCATGTTGAAATAGGATGATGTGGTGACATGTCCAGAGATTTCTTGACGACATCTGACTCGTGTAGTTTTTAAGCAAAGCTACTTTTCAGGAAGAGAGAGAGAGCAATCAGACGAATCTAGGCAACAAAACTAGAAGCAACCTTCTGGAGCAAGCAGATAATCAGTACCCATCACAAAGACAACTTGTCTCAACTATCCCTTTTTCCTTTTTCTCTATAGTATATGGAGCTATCCTCCATGAAGGATCCTCCATAGCAATGGCCTTAGTTGTACTCGCGGAGCTCTCAAGGAATCTCCATAGAAGTAGAGCAAGGTAACATATATTCTCCATACACCAAACACCCTCGTTCGAACAGTGTTTGAAGATGTGCGGACCGAAGTAACAATCATTTTCATCATAGAAGTCAGGCACAACCCATCCACCCATTTTTTCCACTGTTAACACATACACTTTGATGTCAATAATGCGTTTCTACAAGGCTCTTTGCAGGAGAGTATATTTGGCCTAGCCTCTTGGCTTCCGTGACCCCGATCATTCTCAGTATGTATGCTGGTTTCTTATGCTATTTACGGGCTTCACCAAGCTCCCTGCTTCTGGTACATGGCTATGTCTGGATTTCTTGAGAAGATGGCTCTATAAAATCAAAATTGGATGCCTTTTTATTCATCTACCATCAAGAATATGTCACCCGTTGTTTCTTGGTTTATATTGATGATCTTCTATTGACTTGCAACCATGCGCCAACTCTTGCCATGTTTCATGAATGTCTCACCTCCCACTTCTCCCTTAAGAGTCTTGGTTTGGTTGGCTACTTTCTCGACATCGAGGTTCTCCCTACCTCCAATGGCTATGTGTTATCTCAACATAAGTACGTGAACGATCTCCTTGACCGCTTTGACATGGTTGATGCTCATCTTGCGCCCTCTCCTCTATCTTCATCGGCTAAACTCACTATTGCTAACGGCTCTCCGCTGGGTTATCTCACTATTATTGACTGCTCTCCACTGGCTTATGTCACGATGTGTAAACAAGTTCTGGGTTATGTACAATACTTGCCCTGCACTCGCATGCATATTGCCTTCACCGTCAACAAATTTTCCAAATTTATGGAAGCCCCTATGCAACTTTACTGGCAGCATGTCAAGCGCCTTCTCTGCTACCTCAAAGGAACCCCGTCACTTGGTCTTCTTCTCTCCTCTACTACTACACCCTCCGTCATTTCCTTTGCCAACTCTGACTGGGCTGGTTATTATGGCAGCATTCTGATCTCATGGAAGTTCAAGAAACAACGTTTAGTCGCTCAGTCAAGTACGAAAGTTAAGTATCGTGGCGTTGCTCATGCCACGTTTGAACTCTTTCGGATCCGGAATCTACTCTGCGAGCTTCATCAACCCATCTTGTCCTCCCCAGTTCTCTTATGCAACCTTGGGGGCATCAATTTCTCCGCCAACTTGATTCTTCATTCCCGTGTGAAAAATCTCGCTCTCGATTATCTCTTTGTTCGAGAGCTTATTCAGTCACCCACACTTGTCGTTCATCATATTCCCACAACTCACCAATTGACATATTTCTTGACCAAGCCCCTATCCATCACTCGCTTCTAGCTCATACGCTCCAAGATTGGTGTCGTACCCGCCCCATCTTGCGGGGGCGTGATAAGGATATTTCATCAAATTAATTTGTAATTACTTAGTGTTGTTAGTGGTCTACTTAGTAGCCCTTTAGTTCCCCATTTATATCTCGTATCTTTCTCCTTCTGTTGGAGAGTTGGGTAATTAAACCCAATCACATGCCTAATGTAAACTACGTAATCAAGCCTTCACAAACTGCACGACTAATTCTCGCCCTAACATTACTATTATAGCTAATTCAAAACAGAAAAATTACTTAATGTCCTTCTTTTATTATTTAGCTTAACTTTTAAATTATAATTATTTAATTAAAAGGTAGGGCGAGGTTTGACAATTTATACAAGAGGCGAAGTCCGAGTAGGAGTTGTTGTCGGCATCGACCCCGCTTCTTCGTCGTTGCTACAGAGTCATCATTGAGTTTTGATCTCTTTGATCTCTGGAGAATCATCTACAACTGGTCGTTTCCAAAAAATCTAGTTCCGACTTCCTACTCTATACAACAAAAATGAAGAGGTACCCCAATCCTCCTTTCCATCCCCGCCCATTGCCACAAGTCTGTGGTTTTTGCTTCAAAATTGGAAGCCCATTTAACCACTAGAAATGGTGGTTGTAGGGGTGGCTATATGGTCCAGTTCAGTTAAATTGGCCCGAATTGACCCGGTCCCAGTCCGGTCTTTTCGGGAATATAAGGACCAAAGATTGGATTGGATACAGTTCGGTCTTGATCCGATCCGATCTTGATCCGATCCGATCTTTGACCCAGTCCAGTCCCAATTGGGTCTTTAGATTGAGCTTGTGGGTATTTGAGTGGCCTCAGGACTCAAAGGGTGAGGAGTTGGAATTTTGGGTGTTGGGCTCTCTTATCTGGTTTTTGATCCGGTCCCAAACGGACTGGTCCGGTCCGGTCCCGGTTCGGGTTTGGATAAACCCAAATAGTCCGGACCAAATAGCCAACCCTAGGTGGTTGTATAGATATATGCTTTGGGCAGAAGTGATATATGTGTTAGTTCCTGGTTATTTGCACATATATCTTGCATTACATTTTCCCTCTCTAAACTATATTCAATCATCCCTTATATTTAATCTCTACGAGCAGATAACTAGGAACCAATGCGGACTAAACATGGAAATTTTGGGCATGAGCCGATCCTTAAATTCAAGTAAAAAGAAGAAAGGTAAAAAAGTAATTTTAACTTTTAACATAGGAGATTTAAGTAAAATAAAGAGCAACGTTAAGCTATCCATCCCTCAATTTTAAAAAATTGAATGACACTCTTATGTATTTCACTCTCATAGCATATAATGCAAAATTCAATGCGATCCTTATCTCCCATGTAATCCTAGTTCCTACACTGGGTCTGACGTACGTAACAAGAAGTATGGGTAATTAATCACTTGAGTCCGTGCAGATTATTGTCAATGGTTAGCACGAGTCAACAACGACCCCATCCTAAGCCAAGTTTAATCTAAGATGGCATTGTCATATAGTGGTAATAAAGGTCGTATTTTACTCGAGTCCTGGTACCCTAGCCTACTTCTCACCTAGTTGCTAATTACTTAACTAGTTTTGTAGGTTTGAGTGGAGGGTTTGAGAGAACTACTACTTTAGAGATCGAATAAAGCTAAAAGTAGGTACTTCAAGGTAGGGCTGGGAAACAGTCTGGTTTGGTTTAAACCGGACCGGATTGACCCGTTTTTTTACAACCGTATTGGACAACAGCACGACCGAGGATGGGATTGGATTGGTACCCGGTTATGACCAAACCGGATTGGATGCAATACAGTCCGATCCGGTTTCAACACAAAAACCGTTTACCCCTGTTCCCTTTCCAAAACGCCGTCGTTAAAAGAAAGTTGAACCAAAAATAAAAATAAAAATTAAACAACCGCAACCTCTGCTCTTTGGACGACAATACTTTTCTCTCTCGCAAAACACAACCATCCCCAAATTCCCACTTCCTTCTCCCAATCCCCCAGAGAAACCCGACCAAATTCCTCTCCTCCCTCCTTTACTTTTCTTCTCTTTCTTCCTCCAAACAATCTTGAACTTTCTTCATACTTCGCCATCCTCGTCCGATCCTCGTTGACCTCGCCTCCACGATGAATCTTCACACGGTGCCTCTGCCAATAGAGCTGCGTCTTCCCGTCCCTGAATCTTGCCACGGATTTGCCGCCTCCGACAATGCCCAACAGAGTCCCGAGGGAACGAAGACGAGGAAGCAGTGTAGAAGGAAGAAGAAAGATCGGCGGGGTGTGATTGAAAGGATTTTGGCGCATGCAGAACGCGACGGAGAAGAGCTGGAGATGAGAATCAAGATTCATCGACGGTTGTGGCTTGATCGAGTTCTTCTCCTCTCGACTTCTTCTTCTTCTTCTTGTGGTGTGAGAGCCGACGACTGGAGCGTCCAGGTCGTCGTTGTCGCATCGCCGGTGAGAGAGAGCTAAGAGATGGGTGAGAGATCGAGAGGCAGAGAGATGGGTGATGGAGAGGTAAGTGGCGGCCGCTGAAATTAGGGTTTGGGGTGGGTTACAAACTTACAACTCTCGAGCTTGGGCTGGGTTGGGCTTTGGGCTGGGGTGTGGGCTGGCGTCGGGTTGGGCTGGGGTTTGGGTGTGGGCTGGGTATATTTCTGTTTCCCGGTTTCTGGTTAAAACCGGGTAAATTTTGACCGGGAACGGGGCGGTTATTTAGCCTTATTCTCATACCGCAAACTAGATTGGGTTAGTGAGAATCCGGTTTCCGGTGACAACCGGGACAATTTAAACTGGGCGGTTTCCGGTTTGACCGGAAAATCGCGACCGGATTCCCAGCCCTACTTCAAAGAACTATCCCTCACCCTAGCCTAGGAATACTATGTATATCTAGAGAGTTAGGGTTATCGAATGTGGTGAGTGAGCTCTTTTCTGTGGCTCTCGTGATTATCCACACGCCTCCGAGTATGCCTCCCCTAGACCCATATAAAGTCACCTCAATCTAGGTTATCATATTTGGGGAATTAAGCTCTTAGCTCCTTCCTTCAACTTCTCTCTCTTTTCTCTCTCTAAAATGAGAAATTCTTCTCTCAAAATCAGCTCATCTGAAAGGGGAAAGGGGTCTCCTATTTATAGGAAATCAGAGGATGGAAAAGTTCGCGACCAAAAAGGCAACGATCACGGGCGGGATCTTCAGATGAGAGGTCGAGATCTTGAAACACAGTCGTGTTGGCCTTCTGGATTGAGGAGATCGCGGACTGACTTCGCGGTCGCGATCTGCGAGTCGCGGCCGCAATCGTCATCGCAGTCAGAATGCACTATGGCCGTGATTCGACCGGGGAAACTCATTGTTTCTCCTCGGCTCCTTCTTCACGAATTTTGCGTCCTGAGCCTTACAATTCGCTTCCGCGACCTTGGGCTTCCAGGCCGTGATCTTGGGCTTTCAGGCCGCGATCTTCGGCTTGTCTTCGTGGTCCACGATCTCGGCCGTTATCTTTACTTCTAGAGCATGATCTCCAGTCTTCTACCCCCTTGCTATACTTGTGACCTTGTTTTGTACCTAATTCGCATATATCGTCTAACACACCCTAAAATCACATCGAATTCAAATAGGAACAAAATAGGGATGCAATTGACGATGTTTAAGCATTAATACACTTGAATTGGCACGAAACAAACCTCAATATCAAGGGTGAATAACACCAATTAGGTGTTATCAAACTCTCCCACACTTAGGCGTTTGCTTGTCCCCCAAGCAAACCTACCCAAACCAATGCAACTTAATAGACAAATCAAAGTGGGATGCAATCTAGTACTTAAATTCATAAAGAAGAGTAAACGAAGAAGAATGAACGGTACTATCATCTCACTGTGCATGCACAAACTCTTGGGTGAGGACTATACTTACAACCTTAGGCCGAACATTCAAGGTGTGCACTGGGGGATTTCTCAAACAAAAATAAGCACATGAACTCTCGAAGGTGCACTTTATTCTTTCTCATGATTAGAAGTTGTCGTTTATTGGTCTCCTTTTTCAACGTTGACGTGCATTGCACCAAGCTTTTGCAAACAAGAATCTATCCCTCATGACCAAGAGCGGATGAATCATAGCCTTCCCTTTCAAGGTCACATGTGGGGAAGTTGATGAGCGGATTCGTCTTAGCCCAAGCACCACTTCCCAACCTGCACTCCACATTGGGTTGGCACACATGTCGGGTATAAACGAGAGCTTTGAGGTGTCATGAATCGCTAAAAGGTACTTTGGACCTTGGCATACGATTTCATGAGAAGGAAAGATATTTGGGGGATGGTAAGTAGTGAAAGATGGTCGGGACGTGATAAAGCTATCCGATCTCCAAGCATATCCTCAAAGGGCACTCCGAATCCGTGAGGATTGAGTGCCTCTCACATGAGAGCCTCATTTTCAAAAGATTTTTATCTCTTTTTTTTCTTTACTAATACGCACAAATTTGTAAAAGATTCGAGTTCAAAAACCAAACAAAGAGAGAATCTCTTCCTAAAATAGCAAACATTATCAACTCACAAAAGAGGAAGAAGATAGTAAAATCTCTCATACACAAGTACTCTAATCATGCAACTATCCCCTAGCGAGCACCACACATCAATCACCTATCAAATCAAAGCATATCGAGTAGGAGGTTGCAAGGAACAAGGTGCTTTGGAACCCTCAAATTTGAAAAAAAAAATTGGGTAGCATTCAAGGTTCCAAACCACAATATGTAAGCCATTCAACACCACAAAACACATTCAATCGATAGCATTCACTCCCATAAGCAATCATCAACGTCTTACATTCATAATCAAGGGAGGCTACTAGCGATTCATGGCATATTCATCATGAACTTTTAAAGCATGCAATGCATTTTCCCCCACACTTAAGAGACACATTGTCCTCAATGTGGGAGCTAAAGGTAGGGTTCAAGAAGCGTTACCATAGGTATTTGTGGGTTGAGTAGGGTGCACCAGTGTAGGTCTTCATTGATCTAGAAAATTAAAATTTAAGCACACACATAAGAGAAGAATAATGGGTTATCCCTAAACAAAATATACAAACTAACCTACCACAAACACATATTTTATTGAACATACTAAGTATTTAAAAAGGAAAAGATATAAAATATAGAAATCGGCCCCTAGATGCCAGGATGTCTTTGATGTACTGTTGGAGCTTATGGTAGTTTCATATCAGAGGTTCTTTCTTGTGAATATGGTCCATCATAGCTCGCAGTCGCCTCCGTCAGTTGCTTTGTTGTGCTTTTTGTGGTTGCTCCTCGATTTAAGGTTATGGTACTTCTCTTGGAAATTGGAGCTCTTCCCATCATGGGCGGTTCCAGTTCCTTCGTTGTTGAGGGCCAAGAGACTAACACTCTCACCCTCGGCTGGATCGCCATTAGGCAAGAAAAATCACAAAACATGTTCAAACAAACCATTAGGCAACTCACTAGATCAATTGAAAACATAATCCGTCCTTAGGTTCACTGTATACACCCCCACAATTAAGTGTTACAATGTAGAAACTAGGGGTGCATAAGTAGAAATGCATGGTGTATTGAATAGGGTAAAGGTTTAGATGCATGAACACAAGGGCTCCATGTCTTTCAAGAGGTTTCTAAACCCCGATCGAAAGCTAGAATAAACTCATTAGAGACAACAACCAAAGCTTGAAATCTTGGCTCTAAAAGCATAACGAAGCACAAAATCAAAAGAGAGCCAAATTTTCAACCTTAAGTAACATGCATCAAGGATTCAATCCTAAGTCAGAAACACACTCCTAAGGGTCTTTCTTAATGAAACAATTTCAATTGAAAAGCAATGGATCAAGAAAACAAGTTTTATGTGGTTTGGGCATTTCATCGAGCAATTGGTGGGCAACATTCAAACTCCACAAATTCATAAAGATACAACCCACCAAGGCCTCCAAACACACATACACAATCATAAGCATATATTCTATGATCCTATTGTGCTAGCCATGATGCCATTCTATTACCCCAAGTAGCTTAAGTGGTAGGCTAGCACACTTGCTTAACAACAATGTTTGCAACCATTCCTAAAGCAACTAGCTAGTCTCCACATAATCATTCATTCTATTCTTGACATAGAAGGGATTCATTCACTAGCTAAAACTATAAAAATACTTAAAACAAAATCAAACATGCAAGTTTTATTTTTGAAAAGTAAAGAAATGCAAACCGGTTGTTGGGGTACCTCCCAACTAGTGCGTCTTTTAAGTCTTATCGCCGGACTATTATCTTCAAGTATTCGGTCCAAATTAGAAATTCCTTGAAGTTGAGGTTCTTGTTGGTGAGGTGGTGTCTCAAATCACGAGCATTGGACGAGTCCATGATTGAGGGCTCGTGAACTTGAATTGTCATGAGGCTCCATCCACGAGACCTAGCCTTCTTTCCTTCATCCTTTTTCTCTTTTCCCCACGCCATGTAGTGCACACTTAATTGACTTTCATCACATCCACCAAGAGGGATCGCTGATGGTTTGGCCTTGGCTTGGAAAAGAGCCTCAAATGGGGGGGCTTCTCCAAAAGTCCAAAAGTGCATCGAGGTTAGGTGGAATGCTTTGTGATAACACCTAAATTGATGTTATTTACCCTTCACATTGAGGTTTGTTTCGTGCCAATTCATGTGCTTAAATGATTAAACATCCTCAATTGCATCCCTTTTCCGTTCCGATTTGAATTCGATGTGATTTTAGGGTGTATTAGACGATACATGCGAATTAGGTACAAATAAAGGTCACAAGTGTAGCAAGGGTTAGGCAGCTAAAGATCGTGGCCTGGAAGCTGAAGATCACGGCCGGGAACACAACCCGTGAAGTCAAGCTGAAGATCGCGTCCTGGAAGCCCAAGAATACAGCCGCGAATTGGAGGGCTAAGGGCGCGAACTTCACTAGGAAGGAGCCAGTGAGAAGCAGAGAGTTTCCCTAGTCAAGTCACGAACAATGCACATTTTACCCGCGAGAAAGATCGCAACCGCAATAAGTGGATCACGACTGCGAAGTTAGCCCACGATCTTCCCCTTTTAGAACGCCATAAAGACATCGTTTTGAGATCACGACCTCTTCTCAGAAGATCCCGCCCGCGATCTCCACTCTTATGGCTGCAGATTTCTCCTTCCCCGAAAGGCCTATAAATAGAAGACCCATTTCCCCATTTTAGGGGAGCTTATTTGAGAGAAATTTCTGGTTTTAGAAAGAGAAAAGAGAGAGAAGCTGAAGGAAGGAGAAGAAGGAGAAGGAGCTAGAAGAGAGGGAGCATCTTCCTCAACACAAGTCTTCTTCAATTTCTTCTATGTTTCTTCTTCCCTCCTTTATGGAGTATTCCTCTAAGGTACTAGCGGTTCTAAACCCGAAAACCTAGTTTTAGGGTTTATTATGTGTGTATGGTTATTTTAGGGTTTGAATAAATGAATGAGTTTATCTACCTGATTTAATTGCTATGGATTGTGTTTGTGGTCTTCTCTATTAGCCTACTTTATGCTTCCACGTTGGGTATGGAGTTCTAGGGTTAGACGGGTATGCGCTATGAATCAAAATGCGATAGATGTATGAATAGAGACCTAGGGTGGTCGAGGCGACCGAACCCCTGCCTTAGGTTAGCCTTCCTAGATAGAGCCCAGGATGAAACATCGTGTGGACGGTGTATAGTGTTCATTGAAATGAGCCATAAATCTAATGCCCCAAATACGATAGCCTAGATCAAGGTGACTATACGTGGGTTTAGGGGAGGCGTAGTCGATGGCGTGTGGATAACCACGAAAGCCCACGGAAAAGAGCTCACTCACCACATTCGATAGGCATAAGTATCCTACATGCATAGTAACCCTTAGCTAGGGGGATGATTAGTTCCCCGAAGTACACGCTTTTAGCTTTGTTCAATCTCGAGTCTAGTTATCTCCTCAAATCCTTCACTCAAACCTCAAAAACCGATTAACTAATTTGTAACTAGGTGGGAAATAGGCTAGGGTACCAGGACATGAGTAAAATACGGCCTTGATTACCACTATACGACAGTGTCGTCTTAGGTTAAACTTGGCTTAAGATGGGGTATTCGTTGACACGTGCTAACCATTGACAATAATTTGCACGAATCGAAGTGATCACTTTGATAGCACTTGTAACTATTTGAAGCTTCATCCACAACGATCTCGTTCACATCAGGGGCACCATTTGCTTCCTCAACCTCCCTTCTCTTTTCTTCAATTCGTTCCACCACTTGTGAACATTAAAGACCTTCCTCTTCTTTGTTGCTCACTTCTCTTCCACAACCTTCCTTCTCACCTCTTCGACCTCCTTTCCTTTTTCTTCAAATGGTAGGAGATGATTGTGAACAAGTCGTGCACATGCTTGCTCGACAATCTCTCCTAGTCTCTCCTTTTTTCGGAGAAACTCCTCCATTGACCGTAGAAAAGATGAGTTGCTAGGAGTGGTAGCTAAGGATTCCACCTCGGAGCTCGCTTCGATATCCCGGAAAAACGGCTCCACCATGAGATCCAATCGGCTCATCGATGATTGTGGAGTGTAGCACGATTGTTCCACACTTGAGGATGCTCCAACGGAATGCCCAGATAAATCGCTCCACCAAAAATTCCAATTCGCTTCTTGGATCCGGTGGTGGAAGGAAATCTTCTTAGAATG